TTTTATTTCCTTAAGGGCATACTTATCTTTCACTTATGTTAAACATTTTATTGAAGGATCATATATAGGAACATATATATAAGGTATTCGCAACATCTTAAAATGTTACTCTAGCCTGGCCGGGTGTGGCTCAGCGGTTGAGCATCGACCTAGGATCCAGGCGATTGGGGTTCGATTCCTGGTCAGGGCACATGCCCGGGTTGCGGGCTCGATCAGTGACTCTCTCATCATTGATGTTTCTATCTCTCTCTTTCCCTCTCCTTTCCTCTTTCTGAAATCAATAAAGATATATTAAAAAAAAAAAAAAGTTACTCTAAAACATAACATTTTTCAAAATACTATGAAAATAATATCAAGGAGTTATTACTATAAGTAGGGTACTCATTTTTATATGTAACAAAACATTTTCTGACAGTAACCTGTCTTATAATCTATAACTTATTGAGAGTTATGATTAGCCTCTGAATTATTTCAGGCTAAGGTGAAGCCTAAGCATCACTACTCACATGAGGATAACTAATGTGAATTGTAAGCACAGAGCTTCAGCAGGGCTAGCTTTGAACACCAACATATATAGTGTACTACCCCAATGTTTTAAAATGAGGATAATGATGATGATGAAAGATTAAAGCACAAGTTAGATTAGGGATGGTTCTAAAGGTCTGATAAAAAATACATGGGAAAAAAATAATGAAGTACTTTCATTGCCCTCCCTTCTCCAAAGATCATCACCTTTTACCCATTAACACCATGCTACCTTGCTTTCTGTATATGTGTGGTACTAGCATGGCGTAGAGCAAATATCTATGAGAGAAATTAAGAACTTCACACTCTTCAGAATGATGTGAATTAATGCAAAGCTTTATCAGAGAAGACACCAAAATACCAATTCATGATAGGACCTCAGGCTATCTTTGAAGTGATAGACATTTAATTTTTAGACAATATAAACTCTCATATTCCATTTACTTTAACTTCATTGTGCTTAGCAGCATCTGAATCTGAAAGGAAATGCTAGACAGTTGCATGCAATGCATCCGCGCATATATAATCCTAGTTGTTTTTAAACCTCCCGTTTGTCTAGAGACTCCATCTCAAGCATCTCTTATCATTTTTTCTCTGATTAAAACTAGCACCTAAAAAGAATGGCTTTGAGTACTTGGAAAAGGTAAACTGTAGGCTTTAGAAGTCGATAAGGTCATGAAAAAACGTGACTTACTGGCTGTCATCATGGATGCGGCCTGCAGTCTCATAAGGAGCTTTCTTCTGGAATAAATCTTAGTACATGTTATACAGTAGATGGGGTATATACCATAGTGGATCAGGTAACAAGATAGAAAGTGACAATCTTACTGTCACACCTGTGAGAACTCACTGAAAGAGATCCACTGAAAAAGCTGAATGGATCATGTGAAACACTTCAGACTTTGGAACTGAGGCAGAAAATTGGCCCCCTGGCTATACTTTAGATGGTAAGTGGGCACTGAACACAAAGAATAAATTCTAAACTTGTGAAATTAAAGTTAAAATGTCAATTCTGATTATAATTGCAGAAAATACTGTCCATCTAAAGTTAACAGCCACAGGCGCTGACTACTCAACTTGAATCCTCTGATTAGAGTGAGGCTAAACTGCAAAGGCGTTTAAGGTTCCCATGGTATACAGGTCTTCACTGTATGCCTTGGAAGTTATATATCAGAATTATTTTATGAGTTTATGTATCCATGAAGGAAATTGCAAGACTATTGTTTACTCTCAAGTATGCACTGTTGAGGTACCTGAAATACTTGTATTAATCTGTTTCACAGCCATTATCAGCAGGTGAGAGCTAGTCTGGCTTTCTTATTTTTCACATTCAAAAACAATGATGTATGTACAACCACTTTGGGAAAGTATTTTGCTGTATCTACCAAAGTGAAACATGTGCACACCCTGACACCTAACAATTCCAACCCTAAGTATATACCCAACAGAAATGCCAACATGTTTGTATAGAATGTTCATAGCAACATGTGTCATAATAATGAAAACCTGAAAAATACCCAAATGTCCATAAACAGTTAAATGGCTAAATAATTGTGGTCTAGTCACACAATGGAATGATATATAGCAATGAGAAAGAAGTCTATAACCACAAGCAGTAATATAAATAAACTTCACAAACGTAATATTGGGTCAAAGCAGCCAGATAGATACAGGAGTAAGTACGATATGATTCATTCCACTTATACAAACTACAAAACCACACCTAACTAATCTAGGCTTTTCAAAGTGAAAATTGTGGTTATCCTTTTGGAGGGACTGGGGTTTATGTGACTGGGAGTAAGGGTGGCTGCTGGGGTGCTGGTAATGTTCTGTTAAATGATCAGGATATGGTTACATTGGTGTTCAGTTTGTGGGGGGGAAAAAAAAATCTATTGATTTCAGAGAGGGGAAGGGAGAGGAAGAGAGATAGGAACATCAATGATGAGAAAGTCATTGATCAGCTGCCTCCTGCACGTCCCCTACTGGGGATCGAGCCCGCAACCCGGGCATGTGCCCTGACAGGGAATCGAACCACAATCACCTGGATCCTAGGTCGATGCTCAACCGCTGAGCCATGACCGGCTGGGCAGTTTGTCAAAATTTGAGCTATATATTTATGATATGTGTATTTTTCTATATGTATATTATACAGCAATAAAAAAATTTTAAAAACCCAAACATCTTTATCTACCATAACAATTACAACTAAAATCCCTAAGGCCCAGATTATTCAACAAGCTAATAGTAAAAATAAAAGAAAGTCAGGAAGGCAGGAGTCTTGACTTGCAGGTTCATTCCATATCTATCAGGTTAGACTGACTCCAATACGACAGTATCTTCGGATCACAAAGATCTACACAATGAAACTAGTAATATCAGTATATCCTTCTTCTTGCTGATAAAGTATTGTTTCCTTTGCTTTGTTTAAAAAAAACTGCAATTCATTTCTACAGCTCTTTTTATTTACCACAGGATATAGACTGTTCTAGATATTATCATGGCGCATACACTAAAATGTGGTAACTGAGTGTCTAGCAATTCTGTTTGTTAGAGGAAGAAAACAACACCTGAAAATGCTTTGGGATCCTTGCAGGAAATCTAAGACAAATCTTACCGCTATATCCTGTGTAGTGTTGTCTGAATTTATAGAATAAACTTCTTGACCTGAATGGATGTTTAAATACAACCAATGGTAAGATCATGGCTCAATATACTTTTGTGAATTAAAATGGACTTTGGAAACAAACTTAATGTTCTGCAGCTGGCTGTCCCGATTTAAAACATGTAACCTTTGTAACCTTGTGGGAGAGGGAATGCTGGTAGTATCAGATGTCTGAAGTAAATCCGAATTTAGTGACTTTTGGAAACACTGTTTTTGAGGTTGTTTCCCACCTACATATAACCATTTTTATAAACTGGTTAACCAGGAGTCCAGCTGCAGGAATATTTGAATGTTTCCTTGTGGCCAGAATTCATTACAAACTTTCTTTGTTACGCCCCGAAGACTCTTTTATGGGTGGACTAGTTAGTGATGATAACTTAACAATAGCTAAAAATTCCTGATGGAACTAAGACTTTATAAAGCTACAGTGGGGGGGAAACACGTGTATGTCAATCTCCCCTGATACCATATTAGGTATGACTGAGGCTACAGAAGCGAATGGAATGAGAGATGAGAAAGTATGAGGCAACTTTCAGGATGGAGCCAGAATTATCTTAATCAAAATGATCATGTGTCTGGTAAAAATACAAATGGACTTTAAGTGGAAAACCATTTAAAATCATCTTGTCTTACATGGCATTGATTTTTTTTTGTGTGTGTGTTTATATAGGGTATTGAGGCCTCTTACAATCAGTCTAAGTGGAGACTCAGTCACTCTAAAAAGCAAAACAGCCCAGCTGGGCGTGACTCAGCAGTTGAGCGTCAACCTAGGATCCAGGTGATCGGGGTTCGATTCCCGGTCATAAATATCTTTTATTTTGGTAAATAACTTTTAATAATCAATGAGCAAGCTTCCTTCCTCACATTCACAATCTGCACTTACCAGTTGGTCATTTTACTTAAAAAAAAAAAAAAAAAA